ATTCGTAATGAGCATCCCCAAATACCTCGAAAAGGATACCCATATAGCATATTTTGAAAAATCGTGTCCGCCATCTTGGATTTACAAATAAGTGCTATATTCGTTTTTCATCGACAAAACCGAGCATATCTGTAGGCACCTGATCGACATTGTCGATCGACAGTAACGATCGACAAAATCGAGCACATCTGTAGGCACCTGATCGACAATGTCGGGCAAATCTGTAGGCACCTTTAACTTAATGATGAGTTAAGCAAGATACAATTTCCCCACTTTTGAGGGAAATGTTATTCCATGGCATCATTATTTGTATATTTGTTTGCGTGCCGACGAGCGTAGTTACAAGTTGCTTACGCCTACATGAATTTGGTTTTTGCCTCACTTGTGACAGTTCGTTTGATATGAAACTATCATTCTATGCGTTATTATTCTAAGGTTATATTATATAATGCTTAGAGATATAGGACGGGAGGCGCTAATAACGTTATTTCTCGATTATAACTTTCTGCTACTTTTGAGGGGCGGGGGTAGTACTACAAATGCAATATTGAGTTATGTCACTATGGTCTCACACAAACAAAATTCGACAACACGAGCTTATTTTACACAGATAAAACACACATTCATGTCATGTCCGTACACAGAATAGGCCTATAAAAATAAATCGATTCTCATGAATGTGTACTCGTAAATATACTTTTATTTTTCTTACCCCTTAATGCTGAAGCGACGCATTTTAATCAATACTTAATTGTTCTCACTGTCAATATTTTTGTCCATTTCATTACAATTCTTGGCCAAACATTGGTTTTGACATTTGATGTACTTCCCTTTGACAACCGGAAACAGTTATCAAAGGGTACTCCAAAAATGGCAAAATGAGGACAGTTGGCATTTAACATTTAAGATGAAGTTAACGTATTTTCGATTCCCGTATTTGACATAAATCAATGTAGTGCTATCCCTTTTGGCTTACGACGGCACGCAGTAGTTAAATAAAGACAATAAAATGTTTATGTTTTCAACGTCTAAATGCATCATATACATATAATGTCTGATTTATACTTAGAGGGTGGAAAGAAAACGATTTATGGCTAAGTATTTGCCAAATTTTGTTGAAATCAGTTACCGGAAAATGCGCGAAAACGGATTCATCCCCTAGTTTGCCACCTTTAGAGATGGAATATTTTCGTCAAATTTAAATGGGACCACTACTGAGGTGCTGCTCCGACGAACTGCCAGAAATCAGCAATACGAGATCGTATTGGCTCTAAAACAGCTCCAAAGCGAAAAAGTCCCAGGTTAAGACGGAGTTACTACAGAGCTTCTGAAGTTTGGAGGAGCTCCTGTTAGTAAGGAACTTCGGGGGCTCTTTAACTCTGTCATCTACTGTAGGAGAACTCCTCAGGCGCTGAACAGGGAGAATTTAAAAAGGGAGATAAAAACTACAGACCCATCTTTCTCCTGAAGCTCGTTTGTTTACTAGAGTCATTACGAATCGACTCGAAAGAAGACTCGACGAGTTTGAGCCACCGGAGCAGGCTGTGTTTAGACGGGGATATGGTACCATAGACCACATACACACAGTGAGGCTGATTATACAGAAGACAGAAGAGTATAATCAGTCCCTATGTCTAGCCCTTGTGGATTATGAGAAGGCCTTCGATTCCGTCGGGCTGTCTTGGAATCCTTACAGCGATGCCAAGTAGACTTTCGTTATATCGAAGTGATGAGATGCCTGTATGACGCCGCTACCATGAGTGTCCAAATACAGGGCCAGCACTCTAAGCCCATCCAATTACGCAGAGGAGTTAGGGTGATGTCATATCCCCGAAACTGTTTACAGCCGCATTGGAAGACAAGTTTAAGACGCTGAACTGGAAAAGGATGGGCATAAACAAACGGCGAATACATCTCACACTTGCGATTAGCGACATAGTCCTAATGGCGGAGCCGCTGAAGGAGCTACAACGAATGCTGGACAGCCTAGCATCCGCCTCGCAACGGATTGGTCTCGGCATGAACTTGGATAAAACAAAAGTCATGATCAATGATCATGTTGTCCCCAGGCCAATCGTAGTAAATGGCCACCTTCTTGAAGTTGTTTCCGAATATACCTTGGGCAGATTTTGGGATTGGGTAGAAACAACTTCGAAAGGGAAGCCAAGAGGAGGATTTAGCTTGGCTGGGCAGTGTTTGGTAAACTACGTTGAGTCTTCTCGTCACCCATTCCGCAAAATTTGAAAACAAAGGTTTTTAATCAGTGCGTTCTACCTGTTATGATATACGGAGCCGAGACGTGGACACCGGTAAGTTCACCAGATGAAAGTAGCTCAGCGAGCTATGCTCGGAGTTTCTTTGAAGGACAAGGTTATCCGGCAGAGAACTAAGGCCGAACTGGTAGAACAAGCAAACTGAAGTGGCAATGGGCTGACCATATCTGTCGAAGAACCGGTAACCGCTGGGGGAAGCGGGTTCTTGAGTGGAGACCACGGCTCGGAAAACGTAGTGTAGGACCTGATGGAACAACGATTTGCGAAGGGCTGCTGGCAGTAGATGGCTGCAACGAGCTCAGGACCGGGTGAAATTGCGTGCATTGGGAGAGACCTATGTCCAGGTATGGATTACGATATATTACGTGACAATGTTTGAAGAAAATCTATTGAAAGTGTTTCAAACAACGTAAGTTCAGCATTTACAGTTTTTTTCCTCAATCTACTGTTTCTTCGGTGGAATATCTTCCGATATTTTCAGATTTGACCTGGCAACACTGATTCTAAGTCGCGTATCGTTATTGAGAAGTGGCATTGCGTTGCAGATTCGCAAAATAGTGGTGATATTTTGTTCAATATGCTGTATTAAAGTATTCTGCGATATCCTGAAATTCTTATTTCTAAGTTGGTTACGTGTGAAATCCTTTTGTAAACGGCTTTTATATTCATACGGCTTTTGACATCAACTCGTTGGCAAAAGGTCAGTATTTTATACAATCATCGATTTACTTTGTTATTTGTAATAATAGCAATAATAGAATTGCCTAATTACATTGTACCAGGTTACAGAGATTTAGGTCGTAAAGATGAGATTTAACATTACAAAATTTCATGAATGCATAAAGGTTAGGATTTGTTCCAAATAATGTATGAGATGCTCTGGTAGCGATTCGGAAGCTAATTTTTCTGTAAAATCTCGTACTTTTGTGCGAAATTATCTAAGTGCGGCATAACAAAGGACATCGAGTAAATTTTCGCGTAAGTGCTGTGTTCCAAACAAAAACCATAGCAATAAAATGCACAATATATTTTAAAAACTCATAGGAAGGATTTTCTTAACAGGAATATCACTTTTACTTCATAAACTGCACTGTACGATTACACTGTTCAAAATAACAATATTTTACATGATTACATGCACCTTTTTCTTTTCCTTATAAATATAAGTTTGTTTGTCCTGAGTTATTTTGAATTCAATTTTTTTGTTTGGATCACTTAATGTCTGAACATTAATTTTGTAAATATCTATTCTATTTGGTTGATTTTTTATTTTGATTGTGTTGTGAAGTGGTAAGTGAGAACTTTGTTAATTTCTTTTTTATACCAATGGTTTTTTGCGGATATTGTTTTAACCAAAGACAAATTTTGGGAAATACTTCAATGCGGTGTGTAAAGAAAAAATTGCAATGCTTTTTTCATAACAATTTCTGTATTTTTATCTCGAGATGGTGTTTATTTTAAGAAAATTAAATTCTGAAAATTGCTTGTTGAAGTATTCATTTTACAGTTCTTTGAATTTGGAAAGGTTTATTTTCTTAGAGTATTTTTTTTTAAAGAAACACATCTGTCTGTCAATTTAATATAGACATTACACGCGTGGGCCAACATGACCGTATCTTTATAATTGGCATAGTGAACATGTTTTCAAATTGGAAGTTTGTGCAGCCAATTTATTTAGAACTAAGTGAAATTTTAAATTTTTTTGGGGCCTGATATATTATTGTTAGCACTATTAAAAATAGAAACACTAAGTGACACAAGTGAAGAATGAACCGTGCAAGTATAGATGCTGTGAGGTGTGAGCTAAAACTGTTATTACACCAAACATTTAAAATAATAAATTGCCACATTTAATTTTACATACAATTTACATTCATTATTTAACTGTATGCTAATATGGGCATCACACATTACACATTTGCTAATCAAAGGGGCGCGTAACTAGTTTTGTTGATATTTTCGTTTTATTGTCTAACAAACAAGAACAAAGAGTTATAATAGCAATAGTATGTGACTGACTTTTTACCTATAGAATGATTTCATGAAGTTCACCTTTAACAAATAAATTAACTATGTTAAAATCAAATAATTGTTAAAATAAAAAAAAACTATCTTTAAAATAAACACCATGAAAATCTTTACATACCAAATTGTGATGTAGAAAACAAATCCCCAAAGATTTACCTTTATGAGATCACGTACATGTTATTATTTTGTTAGTTGATCTATGTGCTGACTAAAGTTTGAAGAATTCACATTAGGACTTGCAATGTACCAAAATACTATTATTTTAAATAAGGGGGCAGTGAGTTGTTAGTATGCCTATGTGGCATCTAAAAGCCTAGGAAAACTTCAGAGATTCAAAAATATGTTCTAATACCAAACCCAACAAGTTTAATTTATTTGTATAGTCCTTTGTGGAAATTAACTTACATTGTCTATGCGAGGATATTATGAACAATTAAGTAAGTATATTGGATAATTATGTGTAAGTATCAATTTAATTATATTTCAATATTTAAGAACTGCACTTTTCAGCTGGTATAAGTTGTTGATGCAGCTTTGAATTTATTTTACAGTTGTGGGGTTGCACGACAGAAGACAGAAGACTTTTCTGACAATATCTTTACCTTAGTGACATAAATGTGAAGTTTATGACCGTATATTGGTCATGAACAACAAGTGTTAGTGTGTCAAGATGGACCTGCCTGACTGCCCGCCTGGGGCAGAGGGCTATCATGACTCTGTCACCGAAAAACCGAAGAAACTTGGCTTAGATGATTGCACTAAGGTAAATATAACATTTTAGATTATTACGTATATATTGGTAAGAGTACATTAATTTGATAAATAAAAGCTAAATAATAATAGTGTTATTGTCTTTACTACCAAACAAAAGTGGTTTGAGAAATTAGCTATAGATGAACAATAAATTCAGGGTAGTATTCCACAACTCTACTCAATGCTCAAGTGAGGACTTGAGTATGATTTTAAGCACAGGAAATACTATCCTAATGGCAAGGACTTGAGTAAGATTTCTAGTGCTTTATATCATACTCAAGTCCTGATTTGAGCACTGAGTAGCGTTCTGGAATACGACCTTCAGTGTCCTAGTATACACTTCCCAATTATAAATTTTTTTTTTAATAACAAGTTATTATTATCTAATAACAAGATAAATCATGAAACCAATTACATTATTGATAATATTGCCCATCCTGATATACTCGAAAGTAAAAAGTGTAGTAGCTGGTAAACATTAAATGAACCAAATAAAAAGATTATATTCATGATTGAAATAGAAGTCAAGAAGTTATTCAATATTTTTATATTGCTTCTTGAAACCTTAACCTAACACAATGAAGATTCTATTACATTTGATGGATGTCATAAGTAACTTGAGGTAGCTGTATAAATAAACATCCAATAATAGTATTTCTTTACTGTTTATTTTTTGTTGTCAAATGTGATATATAGATAATATAATAATTATCCGCCTATCTGGAAAAGTAAACCATTTTGGTTTAAATAGAAAGGAATAGAATTACAACCCTTCTGAAATTATCAAATTTTTTTGTTGTAAAAGTGAATGTTTACTCCTGTTTTAACAGAATACACGAGTGCTCTTAATTTATCTGTCTATGCGTGCTTTAAAACTGCAGTTTTAGTCAGTTTTCTTATTTTCGGTTTATGTTCGCTTTGAGACGGTTGTGAAAGCAAATTGCACTTGGAAAAGTTCTTGCTATTCATTTTTGCAGAGATGAAATGATACACTAGTTTTAGCAACAAATGATGTGTTGTATGTGTTTTTGTTGGCATACTAATGACCTGTAAAAGAAATAAAATGCTGTGCTGTAAATAGTAATCTTAGAAGTACCTTACTCATTGTTTTGGTGGTAAGGTACATCTCGCGAAAATATTAAAAGTAATATATTTTTAGTAGTATATTTTATTGAACACAATTTCGAAATCGCAGGCCAAAGTCAGTACATGGTAAAATAAATAAAAACAAACTGAGGGTTGAGAATATTCATTGCATATTAGAAATATAGGAAAACGTGTGGTGGAGAATGTATCATGTAAATATATTATGGTCTTGAATATTAGAGAGCAGCAGATAGGTATTCGCGAGTCGTATTACTAAATTCTAATTGGTATGATACCCACATATTGTGAAAATAAACGGTCTTGTATAACAAAAAGCGTATTTACTTGCCACGCTAAAAAAAATCGCGTATGTGTTTTGTTTGTTTCTGAAGCGTCATGCAAAGAACACATTGTGTGTCATCTCACATGTTATTTTGCAACATGTAGCGATGGTTTGGTGAGTACTTATACCTTAATAATAATCTCAGTACAGAGTACTAATAAAACCGACCTCAAAAGTTCGTGGAATTACATCTATTTGCCAAGTTTTATTGGAAATGGTTTTTGGAAAGTGCGCGAAACTGGATTCATCCCCTAGTTTGTCACCCTTAAAGGAGGAATATTTTCTTAAAATTTAAATGGCAGTAATACTAACGTGCCCTCTTTCCAACAAAAAATAATCATCAAAATTTAGTTATCGCGTGACATACATACAAAAAAAACAGTCGAACTGAAAACTTCCTCCTTTTTTTGATGTCGGTTAAAAAACAAGCTAAGTATTTATAATAAATGAATTGTCAGTTGGTGGTCTGTTTTATTTTTTTGGTTATCCCATGATATTGAGAGTTGTAGGATCTTACGGCACGATCTAACCTCATTACGTATTTGTAAAACGTGTGTAAAAAATTACAGGTTTTCTCGGTACGTTTTGAGTAATCTGCGCGACGGATGTGGCTTGTTTGTAATGTAGTTTGGGTGTTTGACAGGCGGAGCAGGAGTTTCAAGAACACCTAAATAGTTTGAAGATCAAGCTTGAAGATGGCACAACGCGGTCAATGGTGGAGCGACGTGGCCGTGATGTCTCCGGCAAATGGATCTACCTGTGCTATCCTTGTGCAGCCATGTGTAGTGGGGAGAGCATATTGCAGGTGTTTACATATACCATAGTAAAATAATAGAAGTATGGTGACTCTATACAATGTAACAGCGAATTGTATGTGTGTGTACGCGTCGTGTACGGACGCACACATTCGCATAATATTGAAAGGCGGGTTGAGACGACCAGTGTTATGCAACGCAAGCGCATCGCGAGATTATGCCATCGTGTGCGTCCGTACCCGTCGCACACATATACAAGCCGCGCTGTTACGTTTGTATGGAGTTACCATACTTATTATACTATGTCAACACTCTTCTACATTTGTTTGATGCATATGATACAGAACTTGCTGCATGTAAATTTGTTTAACATTCATTAAACATCTTGTTCCAGACTCATATATCAGGGAAAAAGCACAAGACAAAGTTAGCACTGAGAAATGTGTGGTCGGTTAGCATTTTCGAGGAACATCCATATATAATCAATGAAAAAGGCGGCAAAAAGGGAGAAGGTGAAAAAATTACAACTGAAATTATGACTTATAATATTTGTCGTTAATTTTACATTATTACTAAGTATCCGTTATGAGTACTCGATGGTTACGAGAGTCAATTTAATATATATAATGTTTAATATGTATAATAGCATTATATAGTGTAAGAATTTACTTACAGCAACAGAAAAGGTGCTCCAAAAGATGGCTGAGGAAGTGGAAATGTACAACAAAGCGAATGTACCTTCGGAATTGGACTTGAAATACAACAAGTATCGTAATGTGCGCTGCCATATTCAAGACTCCATTGATAGTGTCAAGTAAGTTGACAAACATTATTCCCTAGATTGAATTTTAAATATATGTGCTAAATTTGGAAATGTTTATGTTACAACACAATTATAATATTTTTGTTGTGTAGAGCCCCATTGCTGGGCATGGAATATCTGGTGGAGCACCCTCCCGAAGAACCTCATCACGAACCATGCTACATGTGCGTGCTGTGTTCCAAGCAGGGCCATCCGCGTACTATCATTAACCATATGACTTGCTTCTGGCATCGCTACAATTTTCTGGTAACATTATTTTAGATTTTGGGTACAAATTGATCTGTACAAATGTCCGGTTATGTACATAAAGGCAATATTTAACTTCGCGATATCTTCTACAAAATAAACTTGTTTTATTGTACCTTTTGAGGAAATTTTAGCATCTTTGTTAAAATAGAACACAATTTACTACTACTTAGTTGAAAATGTGCAAGTATGTATGCGAACATACATAGTATACCAATGTTGACTGTATGATTTAAAAAAAATGTTTACAGATTCGTCATTTTCCGAAAGCGATTGCATTGTTGGCTCCATACCGCACGCAGCCCAAGTATCGCGAAGGCGTGTCCGTTATCATCAATCGTCTAGCTCAGCGCATTGAGGATAAATACGGTCGACTGAGACCCGTCAACATCGAGAAGGAAGAATATGAAAGAGATAAGTAAGTTTTAAAGGCTATGTTATAAACAATGTATCATCAGTGATCACATTAAGTACAGCCATCGTAGCTACATACGACATGGTCATAAATGTCGTGAAAAGAGACAAAATCCTGTGACGCCAGTAGATAACGATAACGATACCGGGGTATCCATAAAGAATGGTGATCCAGTCCATTGTTTCTTATTGTCGTCAAACTGTTGGTGCACTCTCTAACCTGACGGTAAGCTCTAGATCGTACATCGCGTGAGCAGTCGGAGTGGTATTAGAACTCTAGATGATCCAACATTGGAAGACGTAGCAAGAGTCAAGTGCATTCTGCCCTTTTTAAAGGCACCGTAAACTATGGAATTACATACGGGCCATGCATTGAACTTCAAATCCTAAAATTTACAGCGACGCTAATCATTAGGTCATAACTCCATAGGGCGGTCAACGGATGGTCACTTATGTCAATGGTGTTATAGCATGCCAAAGCAAACGACAACTGGCTATATCGCCAACAGAAGCCGGAAATATAGCCGCACTGAGACTGCAAAGGAAATGATAATGGCTAACTCTAATCATAGTATACCTTTATACATCCAGCAGCTTTCTGTCCACAGTGAATCTGCGTTAGGATTCACTCCACCGTATGAGACACAGAGGGCACGCTACAAATCTTAGGCCCTTCATTCGGTAATGTGTTATTAGGAAACATAAAAAAAATATATCGAAGAAGTTTTACACTATTGCAATCTACTTAACAATTCAAACCTAATATAATGAAGTCATTTGAGGTCATTGACCCGAAGTAGTTCTACCTACTCCGATTTATTAGTTGTTAAGTAATAAAAACTAGTTTTCAGTGAAACCCAGTTGTGGTAGTATAGCTTTTTTCATTTGCATTTAAACCAAAACGTTAATCATAAGCTTCGGAACGACACTCCTGATTACTAATTTATTGTTATTACTTCTCCTTACAGGGAACAATTCCATCTCTGGATATTCAAGGGCTTTCACTTCAGTGAACAGAATGGCCCTTCTTTTGAAGAAGTTGTTGACGTCGACCTCATCACTACTTTGCACAAATCCAGTGGGTACTATTTCAGCTTTCAACATTTACAACTTGCATCTTTAAGGTTCTTTTAAAGACTCCGTCCTATTAATCATTATAAATTTTGCCTTATAGATGTGGATAACCAACTGAAAACCGGAAGTGTAAGGTATGTACTACTTAAATTGAATACTTAATTGTTTGTGTAATTATAATTAAATACAATGAGCCTGGAAGATAAGTGAAAACAAATTAACATCTGTGGGCTAGCTTTATAGTACAGTCAACAGCACATCAAGCTACACATTGACGTATCTTGTAGTTGCACTAGAGGCGATTTTCGAACAAAAATATGTAGTCTGATGTGCTGTTATCCGTACATTTACGAACATTTATTTTATGTTAATAGTTTTTTTCGACAAATTGTGATAGACATAATAATAAAACGAGGAACAAAATAAACTGACTTTTCTAGTCAGTCTTTTCAAGAAACTCTAGGGGTTGCAATTTATAAATATACATTTGAATACATTTTAATTTTCAATATTTATTACAAATATCTTAGATCGAGAATACCTGCAAGAGCTGAATGGGTCAATATCACGGCTTTTGTCATTCAAGTACGCAAAAGCTGATGAATAACTTAATAAATAATAATTAATAACTTATGGATTCTTATTATAGAAGCGTATACATAGAATTTGTGACTTTGTGAATATGTCTGTCAAGAACAGCTAGTCTATTTTTATTCCTCGTATTAATGTTACGTCTGTCACTCTTACTGATATGTTCAGTGCTTTTTCTATCTTTGACATTTTTTAATAATTATTGTGAATGCAAATTGTGAACAAATTTTTTACTCTTTCTTCTCAACGAAATCTGCATTTTGAGTGTTTAATCAGTGTCATGATTGTAAGTGTGATTTGCTTACATAAGATTTTTTTTTGTTTTATAAAAAAAATTATCAAAATCTTCATAAACTGAATTCTGTTGGGTTTGGTAGCGGGATTTATATACTCAATGGTTATTTGTTCAACAGCAAGGCCCGAGATCCATCACCACCTATCGTTGCGGCGCCTGCGAAACCACACTTTAATCCATTTTCGGTATGTATTGTAATATAATCCGTTGAAGACTAGTTCATTGATTGATTTAATATTTGTTGTTTTATTTTTCTTTTGCACATAAGAGAACCGTATACAAAACTGGGGATCTACTTACGTTGTCCGTCTGACGTGCGTCCGTAACAATTACAGTCAAATAAGTAATAGTCGACCAAATCAAAAACAAATGTCAAGTATCTCGGTTGCCATGGACACGCACATAGACAACCACAAATTACACCCAAACTCACGAGAGAAATAAATGTAGGCCATACAATATTTCTCGCGGCCTGCAAATCGAACTGGGGACCACTGCGTGGCAGTCCAGAATGGTAACCGTTCAGTCACAGAGGCAACTACACAACTTAGTCAAATTGAGTGGAACCATGGAGTATATAACCAGCATATACTCGATGAGTGAAAAGAAAAGACTAAAGAAGAAGCTTTAAAAGTTCGCAGTATTCAACGAGTGAAAAGTGTGCGTAGGACAGTTATTAATCAATAAGACCTGAGAAAATGATTCAAAGTTATTACTCAACTTGACGTTAATGTAAATAATAAATCTTATTAAACACTTTCCATTCCTAGATTTTAAGGCTTTCGTGGTTATTCACTAAATGATTGTCACTAATTACAGGTTTCTTAGCACGACATGATTTCTTTTTATTTTCCTGTTGCAAACCAATACCTAAAAGGAAGAAGCAAATAGAGGTATAAAATCAACCAGCTTTTTTGCCCTATGTACAGGGAGGGGGTAAGGGATAAACTAGGCAGGTTACCAAAGAAGTTCTCCATAAAAACTGTCTTTACTCCCTTAAACAACATAGGAAAGCTATTGTGTTCGCTAAAAGACCGGAGAATAAAGTTAACTGTAGTTCTGGGAGCTCGTATATTGGTCGAACCAAACGGACAGTCGTCGACCGTATGAAGGAACACATCCGAGCAGTCCTATAACTTTCTACATAAGTTTTGTTTATAGTGACCCTCCCTATAAACCTCTTGGTTATACGGGAAGGGCACTATAACCTGTGCAAGCAGGCCCGCAGAGGGACCTTCTAAGTCAGGTTCTGGCCCCAGATCAGCCCGTTTGCACAGATTTCGTCCGGTTCTCAAAAGGCTAGTGTTAGTACCTTGGGTGAGCTGCCTCAGGTGCACGTACAGCATCCGCCTTATTTTCCAGATAGGTGCCGGAGCTGTAGGCACGTTCACTTCCCGTTGCGCAGCGGTTGCCACCATTAAGCCTCTAACGTCCACTACCAAATCCCCTCTTTGGTGGCGGAGCTGTAGGCACGCTAACCTCCCGACGCCGAAGCGTCTCTCCAGTTCCCAGAAAGGTTTCTGCGTAGGTACTCAGCTGGAGGGACCGGAGGATATCTAGCTCTCCGGGCTAGTGCCGGAGGTGTCGGTCGCAGTGTCCTGCGACAATGTCCGGATATAGCTTCCGACTTAAAGGGCAACGTGTCACGTGTCCCGCGGGTCTCCTCGCCTGAGGCCCTCGTCTAGACCGGCACTAAGACGCGCTAGCTGCGCGTGGGATGATCGCCCCGGCCACTTGGTACCGAGGCAGACAAACGTGTTCATCCCTACAGCTAACCACAATCCCCGGCGAGTCCATGCCCAAGTCCGGGTCCACCAAAGACGCCAATGAAGGCGTATCACTGGCGGAGAGCTTGGCCTGGACGCCCGCCGTACCCTGGTCTTCCCGGAACTCCCTATCTCTCGGGTCGGTAGACAATGGCAGTGCCCCTCAGATCTTTGCGATTTAAAGCTCTGAGTGACACTGCAACTGTTATGTTGCTACAGTCGTGTAGCTTACCATCGGGCGCATCACTTGTTCGTCCCGTCACTTGATATTATAAAAAATCAAATAAAAAATGAGTAGCGGCAGAGCGCCTTGTAAAGAAGTTCGTCCAGAGAAGTACTGCTACTTTACCTATTTCTGCTAGCATTACGCAGTAATGTGAGCATTACTGCGTTCAGGTTTAGAAGGGTAAGGGGTGTTGGTGAAATTACAGGCACATGGGACTTGTCAACTTATGTCTCAGAGTGACGAGTAGCTCTGAGTGGCACTGGAACTGTTAGGGACAGGCCTGTTGCTTACTATCAGGCCCACGACTTGTTCGTCCCATCCCTTAATATCAGAAGTGAATTGAAAAAAAAAATTGAATTCATTTTGAATAAAAAAAGATATCAAGAAAATAAAAAGAAATCATATCTTCTTGGTAAGAAACCTGTAATTTATGATAATCACTTTCCATTCCTTCCATTCGACGACCTTCGTGCTCGAGTGGCTTAGGGTGTGTACAGATCTGGCGAATGCTTCGCGAACGCGCTGCAGGTGCGCTGCCCGCATACTGCACGCGTGCTGCATGAGTGCAATTAAATAATATGTTAATATATGTGGCGCGCGAACGGCACGCGAACAGATCGGACAACGTAATGCTCGTGTGCAGCTCGTGAGTCTTTCCCATACAAGCGCATTTGTGGCGCATTTTTCATGGTATCGCCATCTCTGAGGTTCCGAGTTCAGTCCTCGATCGGGTCAATTTAGAAAAATTCACTATTTTGTATTGTCTCAGGTGGGGGTGTTTGTGGTATCGTCGTTGTTTTCGATTTACATTTCAGAAGTACTTTAATTAATGTTTCACCGCCGTGATATTCAATTATTTTTTGTGAAATTACACCACTATAGTCTGTTCCAATCCATTTTGAACAAAAAGTAAACAAACCTGTTTTGTTAAAATTCTAAAGCAATCACTCAATAAATCGAATAGGTAACACTTTCACGTATATTTCGAAGATTTCGACTTGATATATCATCACTTTTTCCAACAATATTCATTTGAATAGCATCGTAAAATCGTATTTGAAAAATGGTAGTCCAAAAGTGAGGTTATTATTCCTCTATACTATGACTTCTAGACTTGCCTATGGTTGCATAGTGTTTTTCGAAAAAAAAAACATTCGGTTCAATCAATTAAAGTTTAGTAATCGATTATTAAATCGAACATTTCAATCGCTATCGAACGAGTACCTAAGTGTAAGGATTTGAAGGAGGATTTAAATTGAAATTTTAAATATGCTTATATAGGCTATGTAAGGAAAACCGCTAGTATGACTCAATTGAACAAATCGATTAATTCAATTAATTAATCGATTTGTAGTTGGCGTTACTATTGGCCATCACTACACCGTCTATGGTCAGGTCAGTGACTTGTTTGTTTATTTTTTGTTCAAAATAGATTGAAACGAAGTATAGTTAGTTATAATTATTAATACAAAGATCGAACACTTAGAAATAATTTCTTCGATCCGGCTGGATTTGAACCAGCGTCTTCTAGCAAACCGTGCTAGACGCTATGCCAACTAAGCCACGGAACGAACTAGCGGACGTTACGATTCTTTTTACGTGCTTGTTACAGATCTTTGTTTTTGGTTTTTTTACGACTTTTTTTGTCGTAATGCCATCTGTGAGAAATCTATTTCTTCACTCAGCCAGGTACCTTTACAGCTTTTATTGATATCAGGTTTTTGATTGTCCGGATGTTTCACCACCATGATATTCAATTATTTAATGGATCGAAGGACTCTTTCTGAGTGTTCGCTCTTTGTATTAATAATTATAACACAAGTGTTTTAGTTATTTCTTTGGGATCAGAGTAACGCATGTGATGTTGTCTAATATATATATATATTATATAATATAATATAGAATACAATATATATATATATATATATACATATATATATATATATCTATATTCCTTTTATATGTTGTCTTTTTTGTGTTATAATGAAAATTATGTGATTGGTAGCGTTCTGCCGGGCGTCAGGAGCGGCGTGCGGGCTCCATAGAGTCACTGTCGGATATCAGCGACGAGCACCCGACTGTTCGTTCACGTGACCGCAGCCGGGATCGTGACCGCGAACGCGACCGTGAACGGGACCGTTACAAGTACTGATATTTTACATCTTAATGACACTTAATTTACTTATTTGAAATTGACTATTGCTTACAGAATTACCTTAAACCTGAACGAATATTTTTACATTGAATTGTTTATTAAAAAAATAATCACAACCTTATACAAATTGCCTATATATGGTAAAAATAAGTGGTCCTCCATTGAGCTCAGGTCACTCGAGTGTTGTAAATTACAATTCGTTTCAGTTCTGAGATGTTCGCCTAGCATTTCGAAAACAAAAACGGATATAGAGACACAGCAACGTACCTAAATGACATACATGTGTATATATTGCTTCATTTACCACCTATAGTATGATATATGTATATTGGCCACATTATCATCAATGTTAACGAGTGTTATAACCACTGTAAAGAAAACCGCTTAGGTCTTGCATTGCGTGTTATAACTAACCATACAATTGAAAATCAAACAAACTGTTTGATGTGTTCGTAGGTGTACTAAATAACGTCAATATTTCAGAAGCCGTCAAGAAGCGCCTAAGCCCCGTTTTGAACCTTATCACGACCGGCGCCGTGCAGATAGTCCGTTCCGCAGCCGTTACGCGCTCAAAAATACGTCAGGGGAAAAGGACAAGGTACAGTTCCAAAATTCAAATGATGAAGGCATGCGCGTACTTGCGACGCAGTAAATAATGAAACGGCAACTTTTGTTAATAAAGAAATATTGATAAATGTACATCTTGGGTTTTAGGACAAAAAACCACCTAACTACGATTATAAAGTGAAATTAGCTGACGAGAAGCGACGTGCCGCTGAAGAATCTGCTAAAAAAACCCTCGCTTATCACGAAAAGAACCCCGAAAAGCACCCGCTATATCCAGAGGAGTGGAAAAAGTTCTGGAACCGCCGTTACAAGGAAATCCAGGCCGGTGAGTTTTTTGTAGTGTTTTCAGCTAATACGCGTCGTGTTAAATAAATTGTAGTATTTATACTTATATTATTATATAAAATTTGTGTTACAGAGGGTAAAGATCCAGCTAAACACGATTTTAAACCTGAATGGATCGTGTTTTGGACCACGCGAATGAAAGAATTGCACGAAGAAGAACTCCGCATTAATATTTTGGAGATCTACCGCAAATTATGTCTGTCACCTCCGGACATGCGACGAGAGTCCCGCAAAAGTCCAGAATCAAGGAGGAGGTCGCAAGAACCAAGAAGGAGGTCTCCAGAGACCAGGAGGTGGTCACGTGATAAAAAGCTATCTTCCGAACCAAGACGCCGCTCGCCTGATTACCGACGAGATCACAGGTCGGTTTTCCGTAATTACAACTTTGTTGTTGTTGCCTTTCTATCAGTAATTATGATTTTTGGTCTCGTTAATTAGGTCACCTGATTTTCGTCGTTCTCCAAGGCGAGTTTCTCCGTCGCGGCATATGCGGGCGCATTCTCGTAGTCCGTTTGCGAGGTAATTAATGGATTTTACTTAGTCGACATAGTCATAATTTATTTATTTATTTGAGTTTCTAGGGTAAGAGGCCCATATTGACAGCTAAGGAAGACTAGTACGTAACTTTGAATGCAATCAATGAAACAGTAAACAAACAATCATTAACTAATTGAGTTAAAAACTAATTATGTAATTGAGTTACATAAATTTTAGTGAAGCATTACAATAAACAATAGAATATATTTCTAGTTTTTAAGACTTTCGTGGTTATTCACTAAATGATTATCACTAGTATCAGGTTTCTTACCACGGTATGACTTCTTTTTATTTTCCCGATATTTCGGAACGGTTGCACGCTCCATGGTCACGGGTTGACTGGACGGCGGCAGGAAGTTTTCCATAAAAGGAAGGAACACATCCGAGCAGTAAAAAACAATGATGCACAGAAGTCGGCTATAGCACAACATCTCACACAGACTGACACTAATCACTGGATCGAGTTGCATAGCCCCCAGGTACTCTCGACAGAACGTCACTACATACCACGGTTGGTACGAGAAGCCATCGAGATCACGAAGTACAAAACATTTAACCGTGATGATGGTTTTAAACTGTCCAGTGCATGGAATCCGGTCCTTACTGCGTGCAGTAATAAAAACACCTCGAGGTCGGTTTCGCGTGTGGATACAGTGAGTGTGGTTTGTGTGAAAAAAGTGAGTGACAATGGTAACGCCACAACAAATCGCGATGAAGGTAGTCGTCGACAGCGCAAGAGGGTAGACAGATATATCTGCTCATAAAGCTGTCATCTGCCGCCGTCCAGTCAACCCGTGACCATGGAGCGTGCAACCGTTCCGAAATATCGGGAAAATAAAAAGAAGTCATACCGTGGTAAGAAACCTGATACTAGTGATAATCATTTATATTTCTAGTATTATTTTCGCACGATTTCCAAAATAAAATGCAATTTTGAGTTATTCCGAAACGTCGTGAATAATAGTGTTGTAACCAATTAATCGCCGAATTTCACCGAGTCAATTAATTTCATATTTTTTTAAATTACTTAAAAAGTTACTCTTTGATAAAGATGTTAATATTGATAATATGATTGGAAATCAAATTCATGCAGGTAAAATACTAACTCTGCTCATGATTTTGGCTCATCTTCCGATGAAAGTGAATAAAAATTTAAACTATGAATTCTTTTTTTTCTGTTTTGCTTCAGAATTCTGCAATTTAACTACAGGTGGTAATTGTTGTACTTATTATTTATATTAAACTCTATATTGCTTAAAAAAATGTTATTATATATTATGTTCTATCAAAACGATCATAGACTCATAAAATTTCAAACCTATTTCTTGTGAGAATCGTTTATTATGGTTTCCGATGTTTAGTTACAGCCCTATGTAGTACGTTGCGCTGGCAAGTATTATTAGTAGCAGTAGAGCTCCTTGTGAAAGAGTTCGTCCAGTCCAGGGAAATACTACCACCTTACCTATTTCTGCCGCCAAGCAGTAATGTCAGCATTACTGTGTTCTGGTTTTGAAGGGTTGTCAACTTAAGTCTCAGAATGACGGGCGCAGTGTCCTTCAAATTTTTACGATTTAAAGTTCTGAGTGGCAATGCAACTGTTATGGACAGGCGTGTAGCTTACCATAAGGCGCATGACTTGACCACCCTGACACTTGATATTATAAAAAACAAAGTATCAAAAGGTACCTCTTATTTTGTAAAGGCTATGTATGTGTGATAAATAAGTGAAATTGCAAGACATAATGCAGGAAACATTTTGAAGACAGGAAGATTTTTAAAATTTTATTGAAATAATGAAAAAAATTGAAATAAATGATTTTGTGCAGAGGTCGCAGTCCAGCACGCACGCATATAATGTTGGAGTCGGTGCGTCGAAGTCGCAGCCGTAGCCCGCTATCACGCCGCGCCGAGGCCGCTCGCAATCGCAGCCCGCAGCACCATGGGCCCTCCATGCAGACCGTCATGATATCTGATGACGAACTGAAGCCGTAAATATCCATCCTAAAAATTTTGTATATAATTTCGATTCTTACCTTTACGTGACTAGTTGGATGTACTGGTTTTAGTGACGCCATATCACCTTGGAACTCTGACAATGATCTGGATTCGCTTGGATCTCTACCGGATGCGAGATCACCTGCCCGATCTCACTCACGTACCGGTAGTTTGGTGTCATCTCGGACGTCGCGGTCGCGGACTAAAGCGAAAGAATTCTCGGGGCAGAGCGCGCAACTACATGATCTCGGCCCAGCTGAGAATGTGGTGGCTACTTTGAGATTGCTTGTTGCGTTAGAGGACTATCTTGGTAGTCTCGGTCCCAAGATCGTTGACCTGCTGACTGAGGCTTTGAAAATGGAAAAGGTAAATAACACAGCTGACGACTTACGTCTCAAAATTCTCGGTTAAGTACCACTTCCGCTATATCTGCTTTTATCTCGTATGTACAGGATACGCCCAATTCTTCAGAGGAGTTGTTGGAACGCGAAGCCGCTGTAGTGTTGATTGAAACGGCAAAAGAAAAGCTGAAGGGTGCCGTTCAGGCGGGTCTCGTCCCAAACGCTGCTGCTGCTGCCGTCCGGACTGCCGTCGTGCGTGCCGCTTCCACACTTCACGAGGCTGATACGCGTTTAAAACGGAAACAAGTGCCTATACTTCCATAAATTCCTTTTTACCATCTAAATTAGTTATTTTCAGGTACATTGCATCAATTCATTTTAAATAATTATAGCAGAGCGTAAAACCTGTTGCGAGCAAATCAGCGCCCGCGGCGGCGTCTATGCCGGTGGCGGGCGTAGGCGAAGTGGATCGCGCACAGATCGCGCAGCAGATGGCCGCGGCTCTTATTGCACAGGGCAAGACCAACGTCACTTCCGAGGAGCTAGCTCAGCTCGTTGACGCTGTGGTACGTTGTCATCGCTTCTGTGTTGTAACAGTTGTTATTAGTTGGGTATAAATGGTATTGGGCTGTGGCTTTGACTTTTTTAAATCGTGTTTTAGTAATAAGGTCTAGAGGATCAATGTCAACTGTTCATCAGCGTCTGCAATTGATATGGGCGTACCTTAAGGTTCAATTCTAGGTCCGTTTTTAGTTTATATTAATAGCTTACTTCTCATGCAAGATACACAAGGTAGTATTGTGGCAAATCATACTTCCCCAATGCTTAAAATTAAAGGCATCAATATTTCAATGACGATGGGAAAAATGCTATTTCAAAAGCAATAGATTGGTTTGCAGTTAATAGCCTGCTTTTTAATGAGAAATAAACAAATTGTATGAAATTGACATTACATGATGTTAGACAGACAGTCACAAACATCATAGTAACGAAAAATGTAATCTCGTGGATACAGTTACATTTTAAAGAACTTTAGATGCTAACTTATAACAGGTTCCACAAGTAATTGCGATCATTCGCTTCTATAATAATACGAGTATTCTGGTTGAAATTGAAAATTCATCGTTATCGAGATTTGACTCTAATCATTCAATGACAAAAATCCATGGTGATGAATCCGTTCTGTCTATAATAATTATATGAAACAAATTTTGTAAATGATAAATGTCCATTTATAAAGGGCAACCCCTACAGTTTTTTACTCATTCTAAGTAAGCTTTGTCAATGTGACGATTTCAAGTGACCATTTTTGGTTTGTTTTTATAAACAACTATTTTCAGGTTGGAATGGCAGAAGCAAAAAAACGAGAAGCCGAGGTAAAGAAAAAAATAGAAGCTCGAGCCGCTGCAGACAAAGCGTCAAGGCCTACGCCACCACCAGCTAAGGCCAATACCGCGGCGTCGGCGCTACAAATGCTTCAGTCTGCTTATGATGAAAATGACAAAACGTAAGGGTTACATATTTCGTTTCACGAGTACCGAGCTATGATGAAGTGCATTCTGTTCTACCTCTATAAACATTTTACTTCTAGTGTCAATATGAGGGTCGATAAAGATGAGGTGCCAGACGCAATGGATGGTCTTTCGGACTCTGACTTGGAGACGTTACTTAAGAATTTTAATGAGCTGTCAGCTGAGGAGCAGCATAGCCTGATCGCATACTTAAAGAAACTCGAAGCACGCGAGCCACAGCGCGTGGAACGACTACGGCAGTATGTGAGCGCAGCTGCTACCGCTACCGCGCCGCGGCTTGAGAACCCACCGCCAGCTGTGCAGAAACCAGACGACAACATCCAGCTCGTTGCTATTGAAAGCGACGATGATGACTACACCGTTGAAGAGGTAGGTTTTCAAGAGGAACAGATATAAACGCAATATTGGGAAATAAAGCGATACTAACAGTTAATGTCTATTTTACAGGTGTTCCAGTCAGCTACACAAAAGGTTAAAGAGAACCAAATACGCCAAGAGATGGAGATTGTGAAGAAATCTTTAGAAGAGCTAAAAGCTTCTCCACCAATAGCTGACTCTGAACCGGCGAAAGCTCCAAGCACAATAGATCTGACGATAAATATGTCTTCGGCGACAAATTTGCTGGCTTTAGTCCAAGCGTCGATACAATCCACGTCTGTAAATAATCTCATTACCGTAAATCCTACTTCAGATGTCGTCACTAGCAACACGCAACCACGCTCCTTTGGAGATGTACCTGAAACTGCTGTTACAGATGCCAAACCACTGTTAGAGTCTCCATTGATGAGTTCAACGCAATCTTTACAACCTCAGAGTCACATGGGTTCGCAGCAAGGTCATTATGGAAATCAATCGGGTTATAGACCTCAAAATCACAACTTTGGAGGCAATAGGAATTTCCAGAGTGAACTGCGCAATAATGGTCCTCCAGAGTGGGGTATGCAAAACAATAGAAATCCCATGGAAGGATCGGGAAGTATGGGAGGATCAGGTCCTATGGGACGATCGGGTGCCATGGGAGGAGCGGGTCCCATGGGAGGATCGGGCCCAGTAGGAGGATCGGGTCCGATGGGAGGATCGGACTCTATGGGAGGAGCGGTACCTATGGTAGGAGCGGGTCCTATGGGAGGATCGGGACATATGGGAGGGTCGGGATCTACAGGACATGTGGGAGGATCAGGACATATGCGGATTCAAGGGTTTGATAACTTCCAGGACCAGTACAATCAAGTGCCAAGAGGTAATTTCATGAATGGCAGAATACAAGACAACTACGATACAAGACAAGTCAATCAGTTCGGCGGCTATCAGTTTGGGGGTAATCCACCGCACGGTAACAATCCACAGTTTGGTAATGCACTAGACCAGGGCAATTTTCGAGGTAGGGGAGGACCAGGAAGCAGGGGAGGACCAGGTGGCAGGGGAGGACCGGGTGGCAGGGGTAATTTTGGAGGGCCATTGAGAGGTCGTGGACGAGGGTACTATTAACACATTATCTAAATTCTAATACTGCAGTCAGTCTGGAGATAAACCACTCTGGTTTATTAAGTTTTAGACAAAGAAGTGGTAGATTACATGAAAAAATCTTGAATAATGTCTGCATAAATGTGTATTTTTAAGTTCTAATATGTTCTTGGAACGTGGTTTCGACTGTGCTTAAAGTTGGATAAAATGCATTTCATTGAATGTAATATGATAATTATTTATAATACAGTCAATAAAGAGATTGTGATTTTACGAATCTGTATTCATTGTACACTTTATTAAAAAAAACACATTTAATTCAGAAAAGTAATTAAGGATCGTCTCGCATTGCCTCAGCCAGGCGACGCAAAGCGATGATGAATTAAAACGAGCACTACCTTCTACAAGATTAGGGTACATTACTTTAAACAAAAAATTAATAAGAAGTTGCAGCAAGCGGCGGCGATCGACGTCAACCTGCGCCGGGCGCCCATTTTTTCTACTTAATAATGCACCCATATCTTATAACCATGGATCGGAATAGGTAGATTTTTTTCCTAAACTTCGAGGAACATAGACAGAAAATGGAGACATTTTCTGACGCGTATTAGTAGTGAATAGGCAGGCTTGGACGCGCGTTTAGTGTGCAACTCTATAGAAGATAGGTCTGTAGTGATTCCAAGACTAGATCGACTAAGACTTTGTAACGATGGGGCACTAAAGGTATGGTCCCATACAAAAAATACACATTTTTTCCTACTAAACTATTATATATATGGCAAAATGTGTTATAACAATATTTAATTAGGTCAATAGGATCTCTCGATTGGCATTTTTTTTGAGAGGTGTCGATATAAAAATACAATATCCGCAATATCGCAGATCCGACCTAGAGTGCGTCGGAAAGTTAAGATAAATATAGTGTACTTGCCTGTCCCCAATTATGTCAATTTTTAATGTTTTTAAGTGATTTCCCGACCCCGAAAAGGTTCAGGACCTAAAAAATATTGTCGTAAGGCAGTCTCCATTTTCTGTCTATGTTCCTCGAAGTTTAGGTAAAAAAACTACCTATTCCGATCCCTGCTTATAACAAAAAAGTAAAGCGCAACGCGGTGCAGCCTGTCGTCGGCGGTCTATGCCGCCACGAGCAATGCAGTGTAATTAAGCGTCACCAATAATATTTCTTTGAAAGATAAGACAGCTGCTGCGACGTCGAGTTGCTCACCGCGAACTTGCGAGACAGAAACGCAATATAATAATAACGCACACGCTCAACAACTGTGATGCCATAGACAAACACAAATTACACCCAAACTTACGAGAGAAGTAAATGTACGCCATACAAATATTTCTCCCGGCTCGGGAATGGAACCTGGGACCTCTGCGTGGCAGTCCGGCACGGTCACCGTTCGGCCACGGAGAAGGAGTTTATATATAATATAGAACTTTATTTCTACTTGTACTCTAAGTGAGAACTTTTAAAAAAAGTTTACAAGAGTTTCAAAAGTGAAACGATAAGAATATTTATTAATAATATTTTTATGTGGACAACTCATACGGCGAGAAAAAAAAACACGACAAATTCATCTGCCAAAATATAGATATGTTCTATATTATATTGCGTTATAGAGTTCACCCGGCGCAGCTCGAAGCCGCCCGCCACTGCTTGCTGCATCTTTTTAAAAATTTTCGTTTAAAGAATTGTAGCCTGTCTTGAAGAAGATAAAATTTATGTTGCATTCCTCGTGTAAATGCACCGTAAGCCGCGGCGCGCAGCTCGGCTGCGGCAATATAAAGTGACCCTAAGGTAGATCGGAAAGTCAAACAAATGCATGATAACAAGTATGTAACGTTATCATTTATTTATAATGATTTAGTTTTTAAGTCTGACAATAAAAGTATACTATAAAATTAGTAACTGCCAAATTCTAATAAGGCATCAATGTGTTCAGTTTCTGGCAGAATGTCGATCTCAACCGGTTCTGACTTCACTTTATTTCCAGCTTTAGGATCGAGCAAGAAAAATCTAAACAATTTAGAAAGATTTATGATGGAGTAAGCCGAATACGTTAGCCAGTCTTCAACATGTTCCTTCAGGACTTTGAAAGCCGTCTCTGTCTGAGTTGTTGTTCGAACTTCTGAAAAGGTATATATATATATATGATTCGATTTAATCAGTGCAAAATGATTTACTTAAAACAATATAATCATCATCTTCAGCTCCTATACATACGTCCCACTGTAGGGAAAGGATCGCCTTGCACAGTTTAGGTAATAATTCATCACGCTGACTTAAGGCGTAGTGAAGATAACATTCTCAGTGTTATGACTTCGTCCCTTCGCTGTTAAATCTAGTTAAAATTAGTAAACTAAACTGCAAATAATCCGAAAGTGGAACAGGGCCCCTAGTGGATATCAAACCACGGTCTTCCAACATAATCGTTTTCCTAAATAGGATACCACTATTTAACAAAAGTATAAAAACTTACTTGTGGTATTATTTTTGTTTAGATCAAACAAAAACAAAAAGAAGTTGATTTGAAGATACAAGTCTCTTTCTGTATAATCTCTGAACATAACTCCTTTTTCGCATTGCCTACATAGCGGATAGCCACCTGCAAATGTTTGTGGTAGCCTCGCAGTACGGTACCCGCAAGCAGGATCTTCGCATGATATCCAACCATTATAATATTGCGAGTGATATTGCCTAATTTGCAAACAAAGTTGGTTCTGTATACACGCCAAGTAATCTATAGGTTTTATGGTACAATTATCGTTCTGACATTTTTCCAAAAATGTTACATTTTCTTTACCCAAAACAGTAAATGTCTCTCTTATTTTGTTTTTTGTTTTGCACTGTTCGTTGACACATACAAATGTGAATTCGTTACAATGACGATATTTCTCTTTTTCATTCTCGACTTCATATGTCTCAGTATTATTGTTTTCTTTTTTAACAATGTGTTTGTACCCAGATGGATCTAATCCGAGACAGCTAGCGACGCGAGCAGGGTCCATACCCTCAATCGGCTCGCATATTCTCGAAATCACTGGGTGAAGTTGATGGGCCAAGTAATATTTGTGGTCTACCTTCAGGTGTTCCAAACTTTTCAATTCTTCAATATGGTAGGCTCTCTGAGTGGCAGAATTAGCTGATCCGTCTTCACAAATAATGTAAGGTACAATGTCTCCTTTCTTAAACCTTCGGCTATTTTTACTATTTAGTCTCAGGGCCACTTGCACATGAGGCTGGGCATTTTTATCTGCATACTCATTCGGATTCTTCGTGAGTTGTTTCGTGATTGTCAACATGGAGAGAGGCATTTTATTGCTTGTTAAATCCTCCTTAAGTTTATGAAGATGTGTTTGGATGCTTTCCAGTCGCTCATCTGCAGACTGTTCTGAAAGAATTTGACTCAAAATGAATTTTCCAGCTTCAGCTGCTAACTGTGACCAGTCTCGGCGCACAATATCTAAACCTTTGTGTTCTTGGGTGAATACATATTCACCATTTTTGTTTTTGCTAATGAGTACAGCTGCATATTTTTTTTTCTTCAAAAGCAAGAGGTATCTAAATACACCATCTATATCTAGTTCAATTTGTCTGTACTTCTTATTGATTTCTCTTTTTAAATCGTTTCCGATTTTGAAGACTTGTTCATAGTCCAAACAGTTTGTGTTGATCATTAAACTGTCGGTGTCTCCGTAAACAACATCGTAGTTAAGTTTTTGAACAATTTCCTTGGTGTCCATTAAGATTTCTCTTCCTTTCATGGTGACAAGTGCCGCCAGCGGCTTTGCATAAAATCTTGAATGGGTAAAACCCAAGCAACCATACATGGAGTTAGCTGTAAGCTTCAGAGCCATTTGCCTTATGTTGTACTGCATGTATAAATCTGGTCCTAAATCTGGAGATTTCATTAGTTTTTTCACTTCTCTTCTGCTCTCGACAAGTTTCCTAATTTGTGTGGGCAGGACACCAAATTCGGCTTTAGCACCCGGGAGGACCAGATTGGCTACGTCTTCATCAGAAGCACTTGCAGCTTTCCTCTTGATTGTGGTAAAACAGATGTTGTATTCCTGTATGATACTTGGGTACAGAGAGTTAAAGTCCATAAGTAAAATCAATTTGTCATAGAAACCTTTTTTAGGTTCCAAGACTAGACCACCAGAGTAAGCTGCTTTTTTCTTGCCTTGTTTTTTGGAGACAGTGGGTTTTCCATCTTCTTCTTCTACTTCAGAATTATCATTGAAGACTTTTTTGCCATATGCTTTGTCAGGCACAATATAATTTTTTTCTGTGAAAGCATGCAGTAGCAAAAATTCATTTCGTTCCGATCTACCGCCCATCAACGTTCTCGACATGACGTTGCCGGCAATTTGTGTGATTTGTAACGCCAAAGGTATAACATTCAATTCACACATGATTTTCAGTATGTATGATGCGTCTTGCATGCTTAGTGATACAAGTTGCAGTAAATCTCTGCTATTTTCATAATATCGAGGTAAGTCTTCAAGAGCTACGTCCACACGTTCACCTTCTTTCATTTTTAATATGTTGACACTGAGAGTATCTAAATCAAAGGCTCTGGCTCGTATTAATTCCATAGCTGAGAGTTTAATGTCACAAACCAAGCGACCTAGAAACGCGTCTTTCGCTGCGAATTTTCTCATTGGGGGATTAGACCTCTTCAAACGACCTAGGCGTGACCAATTTGGTATACTTAAGTCCAGGATGTTTCCAATAAGCAAATCTTGTTGAAATCCTTGCAAGTCATGGCCTACAACTAAATCAGGGTCGAGTTTCCAGAATTGAACCATAAAATAGTTAAGCAACTCTCGCTCTGTGTCGCATTTTGTTAGTTTTGTAGCCTTATATTGAGGCAAAGCTTGTTTAAGGTCCAAAGGCCACAGTTCATTGCACTTTGTCATCACTGGAAACAAATATTGTAATTTAAAAAATGTGCAGCTTCACAACAAGTTTAAAATTAGTTATGATTACTGTATTTTTTCTATTTGGAGTACACGTCCATCATACATACCACAGAAGTGCTGCTGGAAAGGTGGATTTGGTGGAGGCTTGTGAATAGGAAAGTTGTTATGTGCTAAACAACTAAGCATTAAGATTTTTGTTTTCCTTGTTTTGGAATCCAATGTTGTTTTCATGTTTATCTAGAATAAATAACACATTTTTCAAAACTGTGTTAATAAAAAAAAGAATATTAAATAATATCATTCTTACAGTAGCAACGACGATCGGTGGCGGCTCCAAGTCAGGTTCATTCCTTATTATATTGATGTGCTCCATATTCTCACAGGATGCCTCAAGCTTGCACCACGAAATTTTCGTTAGAACATTCTCTGGCTGTTTTACTTCTAACCAGCAAGGGCCCTTGATCTTTCTATCCAGGAGAAATGTTTCTAGTGATGAGGTGTTAGTGCCAAATATATGGGAGAATGTCAGATATTTCTTGCTTGTTGGTACTGGTGGTATGGATGCCTGGACAAGGTGAGAGAGGTATGTCAGTGACGTGTTTTTTATCTTCATAAGATATGTTTTATATTACTTACATTATATTTGACTTCTAAATAGTCAGATTCTGTTGGAATGTCAGGTAAATTGAAACAGTAGTTTTTGGTGACTTTTCGTGACTTGAACTCTGTAAGCCCTAGCTCACTGGCTACATTAGAGTTGAATTCTTGATACACATCCATCATAGTCACTTCTTGGTCTGTACTTTCTAGAGTAACAGAGTCCAGTTTCTAGAAAAAAAGACAGAAATAAGGTTATTTATGTAATGATTGTAAGTATAGTAACTCAGTTTCAGTTTTACTTACATATTCTCTTGGCAATAAGAACAACTGGCGATTAACATTTTTCACAACCAGGCAGCAAGAAACACAGCCTGCTTTTTTGTTTGAAGGATTTACATAAACCTTGCCAAACAAATATATTACTCCAGGCTTTACAAATCTGTCCTCCCAAGCATCTAGCCAATAAAACTTCAATATTTTCTTGCCATTCTCATTTGTCTGCAGAGGTAGTTGACCATCAGTTTGCACTGAAGCAGTCACTTGGTTGTCCATACCTTGTTCTGACCAGTTACTTGTTAGAGGTTTCCATTCCTTTTGTTTAGGTGACTCTTTCTTTAGGTCAGAGAATATTTCAAAGTCATCATTGAGAAATTCCTGTGCTACATCTGTTATATTGTTTACTGAACTGGATATGTTTTCTTTCTTCACAGCAGGAGCTTTTGCCATTACAATATCACAGTCATTGCTGAAATCATCCCCAAGATCAATGTCTTGGGTTGAAAATTCTTCAATATTTTGTGTGGCAGAATCTTCTACTTCTTGTTTTATTTCTTTGTCAATTTTCCATTCACTTTTCTTTGCTGGTTTCACAATAAGTAACGGCTTGTTTTCCAGAGGTGCTAGCTTGCCGTTTTCACTATTGTGTTTCTGAAAGGTAACTTTTTTGTGTTGCTGCTTTGACAACCAAAGGCACAATATGTAATGTGCAATATATAGCTACATTTCAATAAATTTATTTATTTACATATTTATAAGGCTTACTTGCAACTACATGCAGATATTATGTTAAATATAAAGGTATTATTTTTGAAGCACGAGAGTATGACCAGTCTGTCGATACATATATGTATAACTAGATCAAGTCAAATTGACATTCAACAATTTGTATACTTACGAATAGCAAAAACAGATTAAATTAAACAAAACAAAAACACTGACCTAAAGACTTTACTAGTAAATATTTTTGGATGACATTCCTGAAGATCACAAAAAATTCCAATTCACAATTTTTTTAAATTTCATTGTACTTTTTCATAGTGGAGTGAAGTAAAAATACTACCATAATTGGTTTTTCTTAGTTCGGTTTGTAATTATGCAGCCTAGCTGACATCTAGGTCTTTTTTTTTTGGGACAGGAGGAGAATAAAAGATACTAGAATAAAAGTACAAAATAAAGGTCAATCAATACTTACAAATTCCTGTTGATGTCTTACAGCAGATTCATTGCTAAACAAATCAGCAGTAGGTTTCTTAATAGCAGATGAAAAGCTTTTAAAATAATTTTGGGCATCTTTCTTACTGGAGTCAACAAAACTAGCCTTACTGGAGACTGGAGGTTTTGGTTTCATAGATGTAGTAGGTGCATTTCCATCTAGATCACACATTATGTCTGAGAGAATATTGTCTTCTGATATTTTCACATCCTGTAAGATTTTAGTGAACACATTTTTATATTATTTAATGTATAATAATTATGAAGTATCAAGAGATGCAGTAATATTGAGTCAAGAAGGTCAATTAGCCCTACTTGTTATAGCCTCATTCTGTGACATGAATGCTAATAAAGGTGAGTAGAGATAGCAGAATTAAAGTATAAATAGCGCACATCGCTTTTAAGAGAAATGGTAAAATTAGAATTGAAAATTAGTTTCTTGTTTTAAAATAATATACAAATAGTTACATATTCCACGTTGTTACCTTTCTAACTGGAATAAAATACAAACCTCTTTCTTCTTAGCAGGCATAGCACCAAGCAAATTTCTAATATTGCCTTTGGCAGGCTGGGCAGCCAATTTAGCTTTTCTCTTTTGTCCCCGCCCAGATTCTATTTTGTCTGTAGCCACATAGGTATCATCAATTTCATCATCATCAAATATTTCACGGCCATCCTCAACATAGCCCGTGCCATCTGCAAAAAAATAAAATCATGAGAAGCTTGTCACAGTAGCTGTTGTTAAGTGTAAGAAATTTGTACTTGGTGTAACGGCCTGTTGTCCACAACTCAAGTCAAGGCGCCGATTTTGCGTGTTCAGAAAATTGTAATATTTACTTGCTTCGGAGGCGCAGTACCCCAAAGTGGGTCTTTGCCTTTAATACCAGATTCTGTTACGCCTCCTGGTAATATCTACAGCTAGCTAGTATTAAATCAATATAAAACAATAAATAACCACACCGTCTTCAATCCAATCGTCTTCTTGTCGCTGCAGTACGCGCTCGGAGTACTCCCTTTCATCGATAGTATCGTACACGTTTTCGACTTCATCAACATCATATTTGTGTTTCGAATTTTTGTCTTTTAGCTGTTTCAGCTTCTCTAAAGCTGACACCCGGCCGTGCTTGTCAGTTTTTTGCCGTTTGGCCCTCTGGGCGGCTGAAGTTAGCACAAAGGGATATAAATACATTTTATTATGGGTATTCGCTGGTTACGCTGACAATAGGAAGTAAACGGTAACTACAGATAACGTACCTAATGAGTCCGCCATGGTTTCACTTGTTAGTAATCACAAACATATAATTTTTTATTTATTTAACGGTGAAACAAAAATAAATTGCAACAAATCCACAATTTTTGACAGCTGATTTGGCGCGAATTTAATATTGTTTTTTCCATGAACGAAAAAAGGCACATCTGCTGGTTTAAGTACGCATAGTTCCTTTTTCATGACGAGGGCAGTATTTCACTTGGCTTTTCGCGGTAAGCGTTTTTAGCCACTTACAGAGTGTTTTGACTGAATTGTTTCTAAAACGGGGAAACTTTTATTATGGAAGTCAGAAGAGGCACTTAAATAAATAAATAAAAAATCTTTATTTCTTAAAAAATATGGTTTCTTAAACTATTAAAGCGTGCGTGCGTGCGTGCGTGCGTGCGTGCGTGCGTGCGTGCGTGCGAAGCACAAGTTCGATCGTGTATGGAATACTGCTGCCACCTTTGGGACGGCTCTGCCCATTACCAGTTATCTGCCTTGGACTCGGTGGTGAGCAAAACCAAAGAGACTACTTAACTACAATCCTCTTGTGGAGTCGAAGCTACAAAATCTCGACCATCGCAGAAAAGTAGCCTGCTTGTCGGTTTTCTATCGGATACATTTCCGGGAGTGTGCGCAGGAAGTTTTCAATTTAGTTTCACCCTCACCGTTTCTACTTCGGTCGACTAGAAGGTTCGGAGCACTCCATTCTTATATCGTTGATATTCCACCTATTCGCACTAAGCGCTTTGCTTCCTCCTTTCTGATGCGTACGGCAAAGGAATGGAATGCTCTACCGACTTCTATATTTCCCGAAAAGTACAATTTGGGGCTATTCAAGGTTAGAGTGAATAGACATTTTTTAGGCAAACGCTTCTCATCGTCAGTCACATCACATCGTCGCTTAACATACAATTAGCCGTAGATTTTTTATTTCTTATTCAAAGTGTTGTATTATGTTGGCCGTACGTTTGTCGTAATGCCTAACTGCAAATACCGTGTTGGTACTTGGAATTGGTATTATAACATCTTGCCTTCTATTCTGCCTGATACTATGGTCATATGCTAAAGTTTTATGTTTTTTTAACACTATGCTAATATAATAATAATAATATACAATTAATAATAATAATATACAATTATTAATAGTAATACACAATTTTCTCACCGCGGGGAGCGCACACAAGTTGTACAACTGTTCAAACAACATCTTCTTAAAATACATGATCTTAATCTGGGGGTCTACTCTCGATCTTCGTCCGACATCCGTCCGAATTAATTACTTCGACAAAATTACAAGACAAGTGTCAAGTATGAAGCTTCATTCGCAACACGCGTCTTTTCATTTGGTTAAGTATTGCTTATTTGGCAGTAATTGTTTCGGATGGAGATCGAGAGTAGATCCCCAGGCTGCTTTGAGCATGTTCTACATCAAGAAGCTTCGTTTTCGCCGCACCACCCCAGACAGGTATGCTATACACTAAGATAGATTGTACTAAAGATATGTGTTCTTCTTTCAGCAGGTCTCTAGAGGAGCCATGTGGCTCAGATTTGAAACATATTTTGAAAATTCAATCATAAAGTTATTTCCAGATAATTTATGTGAAAATGAACGTACGGCATTAACAAATGATTTTGATACCGTTGGAAATATCTTAGGAAATATCTATGTCTCCGCATAGGACATGCATTTCTGAGTCATAGTCACTTTAATTTCTTTTTGTCTTAAATATTTTAGACACGGCTTAATAGTGGCAAAATGATAGCCTGAACATAATAACAATAATACATAATAATAATCTTTATTTTTCTCTTTACAAAGGGTACAAAGTGTTATAATGTAATTTACATGAAAATGCTTAAATATTAGACTACCTTTGCAAGAGACTGGAGTCTATACTAGGAACTAACCTGTGTGACAGATCTCCAGGCTCTCACCCAACCTGATAAAATCGTGCTTGAAAAAGCAGTTGCAATGTAAATAAATTACAAACATCAAGTTTTACAATTATTGTAAGCTATTACAGAAAATGATAATATAATAATACTAATAATGAATAATGATGATAATGTAGTGACGTAAGTACAACCAGTGATAGCATGTGCATGTGCATGTAATAGCATGATGTGTGTGTGTGTGTGTGTGTGTGTGTGTGTGTGTGTGTAAGTAAGTGTGTGTGTGTGTGTGTGTGTGCGTGCGTGCTTGTGTGTGTGTGTGAGTGTGTGTGTGTGTGTGTGTGTGTGTGTGTGTGTGTGTGTGTGTGTGTGTGTGTGTGTGTACATAAATTCCAAATCAATATAGAAGATCTTGTGTAGTCTGATAATCGAGATTGAGTAACCAATTTGTTATTTTATTCTTACACTCATGTCTAGTCAGAGGGTAAAAGGCCAGTACATTATTTAGTTTATTATATAAGTAGCTTTCCAGAAAGCAAAAAAAAATCCCAGCGAATTTTGTTCGAAAGGTCACTGTTGGGCAGACGGTATCAAAGGATCAAAAAATAGTTGAGAATGCTTAAATAAAATGACATACAATCATTGACATACAATTATATACAATATAAATAATTGCCGGACTGTTAAAACTTTACAGTCATTGTAAAGCGTAATTGTTTGATACAAGCGTGGGAGAAAGTGACTAACTTTCAGTATCGACCTTTGAGCTCTTTCAGGAGGCAGTAAGGTTGATGTGGGCGCTCCACCCCATATTTCAACACAATATGTCAATATCGATTGGCAGAGTGCGAGGTATACCATCTTGACAATATTAGGATCACTCATCATGTCTCAAATTTTTGAAGATATACGTTAGTTTACGGACTTTGTTAGTTAGACCATCAATGTGCTGGTGAAAACTGAGAGTATCATCAATGATTACTCCCAGACACTTATTTGAGGATGTTCTTGTGAGAGCAGGACAAGTACAAGGAACAGATCATGGCTGACAAGAATGGGAAATGATGTTGGCATTCTCATGTTCTGATGTACAATATTTTTTGGTCCTGAATGTTAAAAATTTTGTCTTGTCTGTATTCAATTTAAGTTTATTTTTTTAACCAGTTTAACACTTTATCAAAGCCCTTTCGAGCCTCTCTATACACATCCTGCCAAGAGTCTCCTTTGAAAAGGAAAGCAGTGTCGTCTGCAAAGGATATGATCCTGCCCTCCCCTAATTCGAGATCACAGAGGTCTTTTATGTAGGTTAGGAAGAGGGTAGGTCCCATTACACTCCCTTGTGTTACTCCATGATAAATAGGAAGATAATAGCTGACGCACTGCACAATCCTGACTCTCTGATATCTATTGCTCAAGTAGCTCCGAAACAGTTGCAGTTGCAATCTCCTAACTCCCAATAGTTCTAATTTTTGTAGTAAGAGTGGAACAGAGACCGTGTCAAATGCCTTAGTTAGGTCTAAGAAGACCGCGATCACCTTTTTCTTAGCATCCAAATTAGTCACTATGTAGTTTCTTAGTTCGTGAATAGCTAGATTAGTTGAATGTCCTGATCTAAACCCATGTTAGGATTGAGATAACAAGTTGTTGTTCTCCAAATTGTTCGTAAATTGTCTGTTAATAACTTTTTCAAGAATTTTTGAGATTATAGGCAAGATAGAGATAGGTCTATAGTTATTTACACAGTCCCTGTTACAACACACAACAAGATCCACTCTCCGTATCAACTTCACAATACTCCGCAACATGGTCATCACCACACTTATAACAATGGGGCTTGAGTCGACGTTGTAACTTGGTTCTGTCCAAAAGCTAACAATTGAAACATTGAATGGTTGGTACACAGTAACTGGTAGGAGTTGACCATCAAAAGTTAAAACCACTGTTTCAGAATTATTATGTTACAACTGTATTGACAACTATTTTGTATTTCATTCGCCTAACCGTCATAATTTTGCCACACCCAAAAGGTACCGACACATTTTCCAAAATTTCATCATCAGTCCAGTCTGCGTGGACACCTCTCACTACTCCCATCTGGGTCACATTGAATAGGTATAAAAGCTTTAAGATTCTGTTATGTAAGATTAGGGTGATCAACAAAATTATTTGCTTTTTGACATTCGACAAAGAAAGAGATACTTTGTTTCTACCTATCCTTTTCAAACTGCCATTTATATTTTTAAAGATATTTTTCTTTAAAAAATTTTCAAACTGAACTGAAAGGAGTATAGCACGGTCATCAGAATTAACTACTTCCCTTTTTACATGGACTACGAATGGAGCAGAGTCAGTTTATTGATACTTCCGTCTACCTTGGAATTGCGAAGCACGGCAGTATTGGGAGATAAGATGTCATTTTGAGAAACAGACAGAAAAGTTTTTGAGATGTTATTATCTTGTACATTTGTTGTATCAGAGTTGGTCGAATTGGTGATCATTGGAACTTTTTTTCGCAGCCTGTTCATCTAAGTCATAATGATAATTAAGAGTAGGTTCGCATATTTTTCCGGTAACATCTTTTTTTAAACTTTTTTGCTTACAGTGTTTACACTTGCAAGATTTGGAACGTTTCCTGTCGAGTGAAGGAATTTTGTCTTCCGTATCCATCACATTTTCCTCCCCTATACTAATGTTGAGGCCCACAATGGGCCCACGTGAGGTACAGAACCTCCCGGGTCTTCGGGAGGTTTCTTCCCCATAACAAAAGTTAATAAAAAACTCATCTACACAGAAGAACTACACTAACTATCTACGCAAACTAAATAACTATTTATATACAATATAAAACAAAATAAATCGTCTGATCACTTTATAAATTAATTTATCAGTGATAAAAACTCTAAAACATGACCGCCAAAATCGTAGTTTTCTGCGGTTTTTCAAATTTAATTTTTTCATGTTTCACAACAAATAGGCGAAAATCAAAGACTATAAGTCATAAGTTTCTTTCTAAGAAATTATATTGGTTGTTGGGCAATTTTCAGAAAAAATTCAAATAGTGGAAATATTTCCTGAAAAATTGGGAACATTTAAAAATATTGGAAAATCGAAGACTTATATTATGTTATTCGTTTTTAAAAATATTTTTTGAAGTGTTATTTGGCGTGAATTACAAAAGTGTTTAGCATAAAAGCAAATTAGAGAAAAACGTGATTTAAAATGATTTGACAATAGGGAAAAAACCTTTTCATGTCAACGTCAAATGTGGAAAAATATGGGACAAATATTGGAAAAATATCCGGAGCAATATATATTTTTCTGAAAAATATGGTTTTTTTTTTGAAAATGGAAACTTTTCCATCACCAATCAAAAATGGAATAGGATAGTGCTATTGTGCCTTAATCGAAGATTAAAACGCGAAATTATACCAATCTCGAACTAAAATACCTGTATCGGCCCGTTCTAAGGAATTCCGAGTCATTCCAAGTACGCCGTCTCAAATTGCCTATCCTTTTTGTGGCGGCCATATTTACAGAAACATAATTAAACGGATTCGCTCTGGACCTTTTGGAGGGAAAAGTGTCGTTTTTATTTTGACTTTCAATTATTTTGTGAAATCTAGTTTAAAGTGGAATAGGATAGTGCTATTGTGCCTTAATCGAAGATTAAAACGCGAAATTATACGAATCTCGAACTAAAATACCCATATCGGCCCGTTTTAAGGAATCCCGAGTCAATCCAAATACGCCGCCTCAATTTGCCTATCCGCTTTGTGGCGGCCATATTTACGGAAACATATTTAAACTTCATCTTTAGGCTGATGGCTTTGCCAAAGCCTTAATAAAAAAAAAAAAATCATAATTAAACGAAGACACGGCTCAAAGACTTCTATCCAAGCCAAAATTATTAACAAAAAAAAATCGTAAAAAGAAAAACGTTGAGCTGGTACATACCACAAACTAAATACAAGATGGTACATACATAGTTGTTTATGGTACAATGTATCCGAATGAGGTATTTTCGCGCCACTTTTTGTGTCAAACGCCAGCTCAGTTTAGTACTGTGTTTTTGTGTTGTTTCTAGTTCTAATTAAATTAATTGCAAATAACGTTGCAGAATTAATATAAATACTAATAAACCGGATCACAATGGCTATGCGTGACTATGCCGCAGACAAGGGTAGAACGTTTTTGTTACACAATTCTGTATTTTTAATTATTCAATGTTTTTCGCCTCCTTATTCTTTGTTTCGATTTTAGAGTCGTTCAAGAACTTCTTCGTGGATTTCTGCCAGACAGATGATGATGGACGGAAACATTTCAAATATGCTGAGCAGCTTACAAAACTTGCACACAGAGAAGTGGTAAAATTATTATTTTTTAGGTTATTTACTAATCGCAGCCTTTTGTTAACGTTCAAACCAAATTTTAAACTTGTATTACTTTCTAATCTTTTGGCTTGCCCAAGATTGAGCTCTTTTATTTTATTGTAATTTATTATTACAGGTAGCGTTTGTTGTGGATTTGGATGACCTGAATGAAATTAACAAGGAACTCGCGATGGCGGTCACACAGAACACTCGCCGATATACTAATATGGTTTCTGATGCAGTTTATGAGATGTTGCCAGATTACAAACATAGAGAGGTAATAATGATTTCTTTTAAAATTGACTTGTTATATCTTATTGTAACCATTGTTAAGAAATGCTGCTTAAGCAGAATTGTACCTGCTGCTTTGCTGGGTACAGAACTGCAAAAAGGACTTTCATTTCTTTCATGTCATTGGAACAATATAATTAATATATATTTTGAAATGTTTGTCAATATTGGCTAGAAAAATAAGTAAACTTTTTTCCTTCATAGGTGCCAGCAAAAGACGCTTTGGATGTGTACATTGAGCACCGTGTAATGCTGGAAGCTCGGAACCATAGAATCCCTGGAGAAATGAGAGATCCAAGGAATAGATATCCTCCAGAACTTATTCGTAGATTGTAAGTAGCTGAGACTTGTGAAAATAAACTTTGGTCTTTCATAAATAACTTTAGACTTTGGTCTCAGTCTTTTTTGGGTTTACTTTAAAAAAATTATGTATTTAATTCCAGTGAGGTGTATTTTAAGGACCTGTCTACATCCAAATCTGTGCCTATTAGGGAAGTGAAAGCTGAACATATAGGGAAACTAGTTACTGTTCGAGGTTAGTAGAAATTTTGTAGTTTCAAAAATATATCGTTTATAAATTGTAAATACTGGGTTTTTGTGTTCTTATGAATTTTTCTCTGATTATGAAATATTTGTAACAGGCATAGTGACTCGGTGCACAGATGTTAAACCCCTACTCGTAGTAGCTACATATTCGTGCAGCGCATGTGGTGCAGAGACTTACCAGCCAGTGAGATCATTGCAGTTCACTCCGCCACCAGCTTGTAGTGCAGACGAGTGTCGGCTCAACAAAACTGCTGGACAACTCCATCTACAGACCAGAGGCTCACGTTTCCAGAAGTTCCAGGAGCTTAAGATTCAGGAGCATGTTAGTTAAGCTTGTTGTTCTATTTACTGTATAAGTGTTTTATGTAAAATTAACCTAGTCTTAGGAACTTCAGCCTTCAAAGCCCCAAGGCATAGAAACTTCAGCCTCCAAACTTCACATGTAGTGGAAAACAACTGTTGTTAGTCTGTATCTATTGTAATTTAAATGACAGTTGAAACTATGGATTCAAACTTTGATGGAACATTGGGTATATAGTTTTTACAGGTCATAGAGTGTTTAATATTAATAGGTATTGTTTCTGAACAGTCTGACCAAGTGCCAGTGGGGCACATTCCGCGTCAGCTGTCGGTATATTGCCGCGGCGATACGACGCGGCGCGCACAGCCTGGCGACCACGTGGCCGTCACCGGTGTCTTTCTGCCGCTGCTCAGCGCCGGGTTTCGCCAGATGGTGCAGGGTCTGCTATCTGATACTTACCTTGAAGCTCATGTAAGTTTTTCCTTTATTAAATACATTCTACCTAAACTAAATCAGATGAACAGTGAGAGGAACATGATGGAACATGGACAGTTTATTTTTAGTTTATTTTGCGACACACACGCCCGTCACTCATCTCAGCTCAGGGTTCATTATAAAGCGCCACAGTCAGTTATGGCTGTGGCATAAGCTGAATGAAGTCCTTTTGAGTATGCCACAATGCACAAATGACAGTACAACATTTTGTAGTTGTTATATTTTGTTTTTTTGCTTTTTGTCTGTTTCGTTTTATTTTCTTTTCTTTATTAATTCTTTTTATTTTGTTTTGCTAGTCTAAGTGTTATCAATATTTTTTTCGTATCTATGTGTTGCGGCGTTGCAATAAATGTCTATTCTATTCTATTCTTCATGACAAACAGGCTTAGAAAAAAATGAATGTGTCAGTAATGAACAGTGGATATTTTCAAGAGAGAAGCCACTTCGAAGCCGCGTCAAAGATGATTATATACTGAGTGAATTAACAGCATAATATTATATCGAATTCTTAGGTTTTCGCGATTGTTACACATAGGAAATGAAACTATTTTTCCGGATTTAAATCGCGTATATTTCTTTATTCAAACAAACCGACGTTTTGGGCCCTTTACAGGTCCCATGGTCACGGTTGACTGAGATGGTACAGTCGTCACCCAGTTATGTCTAATATTAATGCAAACCACCCTATTTTATCACTATAGTTACAATAGTTATAAATTAAATACCTTATTTTTAATTTTACAAAGAAACATTCAGTAGTCAGCTAAAACAAATAGAATTAAAGCCAATGTATAGAATGGAAAACTACGGGTTGCGTGACTTAGTTGTCAGATAAAATGGTAAAGCTTTTCTTTTATTCAGAATGAAGTGAAAATATTTCATCAAGATTTCTTAAATTATAACATATTATACCTCATTTAATCAATTTGTATAAGTACTTTCGCCACTGCTGTATGCTACTTAAAATGAATGTTTAGATCTGTAGCTTTGTTATACAATGTACCGTTTATTTTTTCATAGAATGTCAGCTGTCTAAACCAAAGCGAAGATAGCGAGATGGCAGACGCACTCACCGAGGAAGAGTTGGCAGAACTAGCTGACGAAGACCTATACTCTCGCATGGCGCGTAGTCTGGCGCCGGAGATTTATGGCCACGAGGATGTTAAAAAGGCGCTCTTACTGCTGCTTGTTGGTGGTGTAGATAAGTATGTCATACTATCGCTTTTACATTGAATATTCGGCAATCCAAATTGCCAATCAAATGATTGATGCTAAAATGAGATTGCCATATTAAATTTTTTTTATGATACTAAGTGACGGGACGCACCAAGTGCGCTTGGTGCCACTGGGCATCAAATCGCAAAGATCTAAGGGGCACTGTCACTGCGCCCGTCACCCTAAGACATACGTTGACCAGTCCTACGTGCTTGCAATTTCACCAGTCCTGCAATTTTACCCTTCAAAATCGAAATGCAGAAACAATATCTAAAATACACTAACAACTACCGAGGAAGTTAAAAGTGGAAGGAGAGAAATAAATGTAGGCCATACAAATATTTCTCCCGGCCCGGGAATCGAACCTAGAACCTCTGCGTGGCAGTCCGGCATGGTAACCGTTCGGTCACGGAAGCAGTTGCCACACTTATTAACGTGGAATGGCTTAAGGCGGTCAGAAAAAGGTTTCTGTCCATTCAATGACAGCGAAAAAGCTTAATGCAATGCCGTGTCAAAGTGTGGTAATTTCTAATAAGTGCAAGATTGTATGCTCTTCTTCTTGATTTTACTATTCACATAATTTTTTTTAATTAATGACTGTAAAAGTTATAAAGCAAAAGGATATAACATAATAATACCTACAGCCGAATGAGGTGATCTGCTAAGTTGCAGGCGGCGAAATAAGATAGCCATATTTTCGATCTACTTTTTGTCTATCAATTTAAAGTCATTACACATACTTCAAAAAATAAAAAAGCTTAGCTGTGCCAATAATTCATGCGTTTACGGAAACGTAATTCGGTTTTTAACCGACTTCAAAAAAGGAGGACGTTCTCAATATTTCTGTTATGTTACGCGATTACTCCGGATTTGTGACCCGATTTTGATGATTTTTTTGTTCAAACGAGGGTACCTCAGTATTGGCCCCACTTGCATTTGAAGAAAATATTCCACCTCTAAGGATGGCAAACTAAGGGATGAATCCGGTTTCGCGCACTTTCCCGTAATCGATTTCAATTAGACTTGGCAAATAGATGTAATTCCACGAACTTTTGAGGTTGTTTTTTTTTTATAAAAAAGTTATAATTGTGTCCTTGTAATTTCAACGAAAATGAATTATTTGCGTGAAATTAAAACATATGCTCAGTCGAACTGCGTAAATAACTTTCCATCAATATTGGAAGTTATTTATAAGTTATTTTAATCGTGCTGAAGGTTTAATTTTACTGTCTCTTATTCAGACGTCCAAACGGCATGAAGATCCGCGGCAACATCAACATTTGCTTGATGGGCGACCCGGGCGTGGCAAAGTCGCAACTGCTTAACTACATTGACCGGCTAGCGCCGCGTAGCCAGTACACTACCGGCAGGGGCTCTTCTGGCGTTGGTCTTACAGCTGCTGTTTTGAAGGTAGAATAATGTAGACAACAAACGTTAAATTATTAATTATTATTACCATATATGTATATTATGTATCTGTAATAACGAATGAATAATAAAGAAATGAATTGAATAAAATTCGAGAAATTCAAAAAGACGGAAGTACAATATAATGTTGTACAAATACAGGACAATGTTCTTCAATATATTTTTCAATTTGTAAAAAGTGTGCTATGTTCAATGACAATTGGATTTGATAAATTTGTAAATTGTTGATATG